GGGGCATGTGCTGTGAAGTTTGAATACCTGTGTGTCTCCAGTTACTAAATGTAGATTGCCCCTCCCTGTGTCATTATGCAGGGAGGGGGGACTGTCCCTTGAGTGTATATATCTTGTATCTGTGTTGAAATAAAGTAGTCTACCTTCTGGATTACTTCAAGATAGGTGTCGTCTAGTCTTGTATGGTCTGCTGTGGTGTCTGTTGTCAGTGTTCGGACAGGGAAGCGTTCGTCTAACGGAAGTACCCAAGCACAGTCTGGGGTCGATTCCGTTACATTGGTGGCAAGCGGTGAGATTGTGCTTCCTGGCTGTGAACACATTCAAACCTCCACCGGGATCCAAGGTTTGGATAGCAGGAGAGGAGAGACAGATATCACCCACAGCTATGGAAATGGAAGTCTTATGGCGGATGCAGCAAGTGCTGGCTTACCTAGACGATCCTGTTTCTGCACGGGATAAGCTTGGATGGAGGAAAGCATCTGTCCAACAGCTGGACGAGGGTATGGAAGATAGAGCAGTTGGCTCATCCCTCCAATTACAGATCCTGGAATGTATGGATCTAATGGATTTTTCACTGGAGGATGTTATGGGTGATGAGTCACCTGCAGTCTGGGACATCCAAACCTCCACCGGGATCCAAGGTTCGGATATCAGGAGAGGAAAGATACAGATACCACCCGCAGCTATGGAAACGGAGGTCTTATGGCAGATGCAGCAAGTGCTGGCTTAGCTAGATGATCCTATTTCTGCACAGGACGAGCTTGGATGAAGGAATGCGTCTGCCCAAAAGCTGGATGAAGGTATGGATGATGGAGCAGTCATCTCATCCCTCTAATTACAGATCCGGGAATGTGTGAATCTAATGGATTTTTCACTGGAGGATGTTATGGGTGATGAGTCACCTGGCAAAGTGCTGGCACTGGGCCCAAGGACCACCAGCCCTTGCCCTGGACATTTAACCATTCCAGACACTGGGGATTTGATAGACTTCTCTACTGAGGAAAAACAACCTGGTGAGCCTCCAGCAGAAGAGCTGGCAACAGGGCCAAACATTGCTGAACTCTACCCAGCACCAACAGCAGCTTCAGTCTCCCTAAGGGAAGAGGCTGCCACTTTTCTCCTACACCACTGACAGGGACATGGGATTTCCTGCCAGCAGCATCTTTGGAGGTAAAAGAAAGTTCTTCAGCTGAAGCGCTGACAACTGGACAGAGGGTCCAGAACCTCTGCCCCACAACTGTGGTAGTTTCAGAGGCCCAGGGGAAGAAGGGAGAGGAGGTTGTTGTCCTCCCTCCCCCATAGTCAGCCAGAGTGGAGGAAACTATCTTGCCTCCCAAGCCAGGATCTGTGCACCAGGGGGACAGTGACAGAGGAATGTCATCTCAGCAGCAGATCCACAGTCTGGGAGTGGAGGAAGCCTGCCTCCCTCCCCCACGGTTAGCCAGAGTAGATGTGGGGTCCCCAGCAGAAGTGCTGGCAACAGGACAGAGCGCCGTTGGCCTCTGCCTAGCAACTACAGTGTCTCCACAGCATCAGGGAACTGGGGCGATTGGCCGCTCTTCCCAGCAGCAGACTGAGCTCCAGAATGTTCAAAACCATACAGCCGAAGCGCTGGCAGCTAGACAAAGGGTCTGTAACCTCTGCCCTATCCCTACTGAGGACAACTACCCCTTGCAGTCGAGAATAGAAATCAGGTTGATCATCTATGTGACTTCACTCTGCCCTCAACTAACCAAAGTGGATGAGACTACAGTCACCACCTGGATACCCCGGGGATGCTGGGCAGTCGGCCCAGATCCCCAACAGCATGATGGAGCTGGCCCAGCTACCCTGTCTTCTCTCCAGTGGCTGAGATGACTTCAGGGAGAAGGACCAGTCTGTACTTCTCCCTAGCAGTGGGTATGTTCTACGAGAGAGGCAGAGGTTGGCTGAGCGAGTAATGCTATGTTTGGGACAATTTGTTTGGGGAACTGTGTGGGTGCTGGCATTGGGGGACTGGAAGTAAAGACTAACTTCAGAGTCAACCCGTTTGGGGTCTCCTCCTGTGTTAGTCTCCTGCCGAAAGGGGAGATATGTGACGGGAGTCACTTTGGGTGGGGGACACATGGAACCCAGCTTACTTTGGAGAGGTGGGGAGACCCCTGTCTCAGCTCCCCATATCCCTATTATATGTAAGTCACCCTGTGCCTGTTAGGGGTACAGGGTGATCTGTCCTAACATTGTGTAGACATGTCTAGGAGATAGGTGGTGACAGACACCGCCCTGTGGGATCTCTAGTGATCCACAGAACGGGATTCCCCAGGACGCGGAGTCTAAGTCCCAGCCTGCCTTTTCAACAGAGCCCCTGATGGTGGGGATGGACTTGGTGCAGGACTGAAACCAGGTCGCGGCCCCTGAGTGCACCCAACTGTGGTAGAGGAGTCCCGCTGAGGGTATGTGCCAGGGGTGAGCCTGATGTGAAGAGGCTGACAGGTCCAGGTCCCGAGCGGGATGGATGGATGACAGTCAGGAGTGAGCGTGGTCAGACTAGCTGGGCCGGTAACGGTGGAGGAAGGTAGGTACAAGCAGGAGATGGAGAGTAGCCGGGTCACGAGCCAAGGTTCAGCAACGGGAGGTCCAATAGTAATAGTAACGACAGGCAGAGGAATAGTCAGGGATGAGCCGGGGGTCAGAGCAGGAGAAGTTCAACACAAATCAGGACAAGCAGGATCGGCAACAGGAAAACGCACTTCAGAAACACAGGTACAGGAACTAGACCTTGCGGCAACATGATCACCTCCTAGCCAGTTTAAATAGTGCGCCCTGCACCGTCATTGGTGCCAGGCGTGTGCTTGCATGCAATTGCCGCCGCAGACGCCCAGGTCCTAGTGCCTGCATATTGGTGCACCTAGGCAATCTGCGCATGCGCAGACCCATAGTCCCCGACAGGTGGGGTGGGGGTTGTGGATTGTTTGGTGATGTGTGGCTGCATCCCATTGTTCTATTGTTTGTCTTGCTTGGGAGCAAACTATTATGGGATGTATGTGTTTACGTGTATTAGCTTAGTGGGGGGGGGGGGTGTCTCCAGCAGCCCTTCCTCCTGATGGGACTGGCTGATGGTGTGAAATTTGAATACCTGTATGTCTCTTGTTACAAAATGTAGATTGCCCCGACCTGTGTCATTATGCAGGGAGGGGGGACTGTCACTTGAGTGTATATATCTTGTATCTGTGTTGAAATAAAGTAGTCTACCTTCTGTATTACTTCAAGATTGGTGTCATCTAGTGTTGTATGGTCTGCTGTGGTGTCTGTTGTCAGTGTTCGGACAGGGAAGCATAAGTCTAACGGAAGTACCCAAGCGCAGTCTGGGGTTGCTTCCGTTACACTATCCAAGAAGAATTGGTGTGCGCCCAGAGTCAGCTAGACAGGGGCAGTCACCTAATAAGGGACCCATACACGTGTGCAGATGGCCATATCCATAGCGAGATCCTCAAACCTAAGTTAGAGGAAATAAATATATGTTTAATGCATATGTAAGTCCTAGTTTGCTGTGCAAGTTAAATATGCTAAAATGCTGCTTTTTTTGCTTTCTTTTGCCATTAGGTGCATACGTAATACACAAAGGGCTGGATTTTTAAAGGGACAACTGCCCTGGGCCCCCCTGACAGAAGGGACCTCTTCTATACAAAAATATAAAAAAAAAATATAAAAAATATAGCAAAATAATAATAACATAATATAAAATGTATGATAAAAAATATTTTCTTTTATTAAATGTATCTTGGGAAGTAATATTTTGCCAGCCATCATTTGTAAAGGTTTTTACTCTGGACTGGTGTATTATATCGTTTTTAAAAACAAATTTTGGCGGCTCAAGAGAACCACACGTGTGTGTACGCGTGACCTCAGAATGATGTTGTCTCATGCACATTGAGAATGTAAAACAACTCTGTGTATAAGGTGCCCTCCAAATATGAAGTGCCCCTGGCCCCCCAAGGTCTAAATCTGGCCCTAAATATGTCACCATTATAAATTAAAACAAACTAAAAAGACAATGTGACTGCTTTGAAAAGCAATGTCCATGTACCAAGCTAAATGACATGTCACATAAACCCCATGCACTATGCTATTGTAGGAAAACAAGGTAGCACAGGTACTAGTATTTATCAATAGAATCTCTAAGCTAAGCATCACCATATAAAATCTTGTACATTTGCTAAAGTTCTGTCCATGTGCACAAAAATCTGTGCCTTTGTGGTACAAGGCCCTTCTGTGTATGGCTTAGTAAGACTTTAAAAAAAATAGAGTTTTTAAGTCTCTTTTTAATGATAACCATGCACAATTGTATTCATACATAGTATGTGCATTTAACTATGGTAACAGCATTTGATACCCAAAAGCGGTGAAAATCATATTTTTATTTTAGACAGGCCATGGTTTAGCTGTTGTTTGCTCAGATGTTGAAGTGTTATTCCACAGCAAACCATACTTTTTGGCAAATTATGTGTATATACACTGTAGAACCCACATAGATTGCAAGCACATAGTAAATTCAGTTAAGTTCACTTAGTCCCTTTAGATTGTAAACTCCACAAGCAGGGCCCCCATATTCCTTCTGTATTGAACTATATTGTAATTGTACTGTCCCCCTTTATATTGTAAAGCGCTGCGAAAACTGTTGGTGCTATATAATTCCTGTATAATAATAATATGAATTGTAAACACATGATCAATACATTAGTAAATTAAGCACATGGTGTATAGTACTGCTGCTAGTATACTACCCAAATTTGTAAATGACTAGCTTATACAAACCTACAGAATGTCAATGTAACAGTTGATTCAAGCCATATTGTTGGAAAGCATATATACAGATATATGCTTAAGGAAGTGTTTAAATGTGTGTAAATTGGTATTAGATATGGGAAATATAGGAAACAAGTTGTATAAATATGTGAATTCGTATATTATTTGAAAAGCACATTCTATTGCACTAATTTGAAATAATTTCCTTCTTTCAGGAAAAATTGGCTACAGAAAGTTGGTAGCCCAATGTCCCGGATTGACAAGGCTGTTTTCTCAAATGAAAGGCAGATAGCAAATGTGGAATTTTCCAACTTCAAAACAAAGTACTGATGTGCGGAGTTATTTGGATAATAAATCACATTGGACTATGGATTTTCTCTGCAAATAACCTTATTAGGTGCATTATTATGGAATAGAGACAAACCCACATGTAAATGTGAACGTTTTTTGAGGGAGTGGGGGGCATTTGACAGCTGAGAAATCCAAGAAGAAGCTGTTAAAGCCATACTCCAAGAAAATATTTTTTCCTTTTTGGTTGAAGTGGATTAGACACAGAACCTCTGACTACTTTTTATCACTATGTCAGTTCCCTTTACTTTTCCAGTGGTTTCCCAAGTTGATGACAGAATGTCACAGAGACAGGAAGTCATGGGTAAACACTCCAGGACCTGGATTAGAACCTTGATCAAATTTTTGCTGTTTGTACCTTTCTTTCATATACACCCCTTCCTCTTATTTCTTATCTTGTCTCACAATAAGAGAATGTGAGGGGAAATCTCCCCATTGAGAATACAGATGATAACAAAATCTTGAGAGAGTTTCCAACATTTTTTTGTAATTAAAAATTAAAAAGAAGATTTGGCTGAAGTTAAGCATGTTCTTGCTTTCCCACAAAGGACAGTATCTAAGCAATTCTGCTTTATCTAACACTGTTCAGCCCAATGGCAGCAGGCTGAGCCACATGGTGGTTTACTTCCTTATTTTATTCTTCAGTGTGTATAGTCAAACATATTTCACTTAACAGAGGGCCAAAAAGTTAATAATAATATGATTTTTGTACTAACCCTAAAAACTTTTTATTGAAGTTCATCGACGTACATGGGAATTATACAGTATAAATTCTCAGACAACTGGATTGTACTGCTGTCTCCTGAAGGCGACAGTATAAGTGAGTTGTCTAGGAACATCATAGATTTCTTGTGCCCTTCATGAATGATAAAGAAATGAAATTAGTACTGATACCCAGGGCTTTCTTTCTGCCGGAACGCGGCGGTACTGCGTTCCGCCACCTTTTTCTTCTTGTCCCCGCTCACCGACTGCCTCTGCAGAGCTGACGAGCTATGCAGAGCAGCGAAAGTGACAGGTGCCGGACGCGGCTTGTTTATGTCATGCTTGCGCGTGCCCGGCACCTGTCACTGCCGCTGCTCACAGCCGGTGAGCGGGGACATGCACGCTTCACCCCCCCCCCTCTACCGCCAGCGTGTAAACATCGGGGGCGCGCGGCCACCCCCATAGGAAAGGTGTATCTTAGTACACCCGGCGGTGCGCGCTGACGTCATCACGCCCTCTGCTCGTCGATCCTACCATAGCGCGGATCGTCAGCATCAGGTAAGGAGCGGCGATACAATTTTTCTCGCTTTTCTTGCTAATGTGGGGGGGGGCAGTGTTACTCGCTATTCTTACTAATGTGGGGGGGGGGGGCGGTGTTAATTCCATACATTTACTTTTATAGCCCCTCCCAAATTTTACTTGCATTCCTGTTCTCTAAAGGGGTGGTCCTAGGGTTTGATGGGGGCGTGGCCAGGTTTGGGTGGGGGAGTTCCACCACCTTTCCTCTGAGAAAAAAAGCCCTGCTGATACCACATTTTTTTCTATTCAATTCCATAATTTTATTACTTGCTGAAGCTTCTTATTTAAACTGACACAAAGAAGTGCTACATGATTCTTTAGGGGGACCACAGCTCTGTATGGTAACAGATCTCTCATCCGCATAGCTATTGTGCAGAAAGACATAGGAGAACAAATGTTACAATGTACAGTATTTTATGCAGCAGCGTATTTACCACGAGGCAAAAAAGGTGTTTGCTTAGGGCGGCAATTTTCAGGGGGATGGCAATGCCCCCCGGAAAAAGGGACACAAATGGCAGGGATGGGGACCTGGTCAGCCCTGCCATGAGATCCGGAGGAGGCTGCATGCTGCTGGAGGGTGCGGGGATGACTGGCTGCTTTTTTCAATGCAGATGTTAAGGTTAGTCAATGAATCGGGTGGTTACGGCCGGGGGTGGTAGTGGGGGATGTGTGTTGGTCGGTGGTGGTGGTGGCGGCAGGTGGGCGTGGTGGGGGAAGGGGGGATTGCAGTGATGAGCTGTGGTGAGTGGGGGGTTGCTGGTGGCTAGGGGGGCCCCCCATTTTAGTGTTGCCTAGGGCAGCACATAAACTAAATACACCACTGATTGTATGTACTACATCTTTGATGACTGGAGAATCTGAAACAATGAAAATTGGTATAGCCCTGCCTCTTAATCAAAGTCGTGTAAGTTATAGCAATACGTGCGTGAAAAAATATAAATGCGGTGGGCTCTACAATTGTTTTGGCAGTTTTGCTACCACACTTGTTTACTTGGTTCTATCTAAGATTATAAATGTAATAAGTGATTACAACCTTTTGTCTATACATGAATTTAGCCAATCCTCATGTGGCTATTACCAATAATGTTAATAGCAAAGGATAACAACTGGGCAAAAAATAAAGATCTAATTTATTTACACAGCAAAGAAAAGTAGTTACTAATCGAATCAAACAAAAGATATGATATTACAAAAAAAATAATTGATAGTACAGTATAACATACAGTATATTATCAGTATAGAGAGATGACTATAGGAAAGAAAGTTATAGAAAAGAAATAGAGCAATGCCGATACATTACACAGACATCCTGATGTTCTAAGGTCTGGGCTCCTGAAGGGACAAAGAGACATAGAGGCAGAACTTTATACTCCCTCCCCCCTCCCTTCCAGGTAGTCCCACCCTTCAATAGGTTGCCATTCCTGTTCAAAGGGGGGGCTCTGTGATTTTGAAAGACATTGGCCAACATTGGTTCATCAGATGGAATTTAGGATGGGCCAATGTCCAGGAAGCATACCTCCTTTGAAAACCCAGTTCCCACAGGAAAGTCTATGACAATACTTCCTAGGAGGTAATGACGACTCCAGGGCTTATTCATCCAGATGGCCTTACTGTTATAAATCTCTACAGGAAACCTAAGGGGGGGTGTTGAGGTGATGCAACAGATGGTAAATATGGTACAGGAATTGAGACCCCTATCAGAAGTTCACAATAATATTAAAACTTATTGTAGGCCCAAAATATCTATCACACAATACACCTCCCCCACTTGATATGTGCTAATATTTCCTTAAGCTTTCAAAACACTCTTTAGATAAGCCGAGTGGGGGAGCTGTATTGTAGTACTCATACCCTTTGTTAAGGGATATTGGTGTTTTGTACATTATTTGATTTGTTATTTATTATTATTATTCAGGATTTATATAGCGCCAACAGTTTGCTCAGCACTTTACAATATAACAGGAGACAATACAGCAACAATACAGTTCAATATAAGAGGGATAGGAGTGGGGGACGTGTATTGTAGCACCCACAGTAATTTTTTTTTTTCATGCACTAACACAGTTCACATATAGCTATAACTCTCACAGCTTTGGTTAAGAGGCAGTGCTATACCAATTTTCCTTGTTTTTACACATCCTTATAGGTTTGTGCTAGGTGTAAACAAACGCCCATCATTAATTTATTTTCATATCTTGTGTCTTAAGGAATCTGAAAGCCTGTTATTGCTAAAATGGGCTCAGTGGTAGGCTTATTTTTATTTCTGTCATACCCCTATTATGTTAGTATTGTATTTCTGATTCAGACTAAATCAAGACATAAGGCCATAAAACAAAATATGAAAAGTTCTTCCCCATCAATATCAATAAATAACAAAAAATAAAATTAGGCATGCCTTAAAGCAAACCTACAACATTTTTTCACAATTTGAACAGACGATATGATGAAAAATACAAAAACTATGTTTGAGTAACCAGTATATTCAGACATATAAAAAATTTCATTTGCCTACACCTCAGGGAAGGTAGGCCATGATAAATTTTATGGGATAAGTGAAAAACTTCCTACTTATTATTTTTTTTTCATAATATACTAAGTTTGAATTAACCAAGTATGTGAAGCCTAGTGTAGCTAAATTTTAAAAAATCAGCACAAAGGAAATCCTCCGCTGTAGCCCAACCCGTACTATCACTATTGAAACAGGATCTCTGAGTGGAGGAAGCAGAGCTATCAATCATCTGCCTGTCCTCCATTCTTGGATCCTATTTCATACAAAGAAGCTATAATACGGCTTCTATGAATGGAGATGCAGGGTGGAAAAGGAGGGCATAGTCTGGCTTTCCTGACGAAAGCCTATGGCAACCCCCCAATAACTATATTAACCCCCGCCGTGCCATCAGAGGAGGAAGATTTCATCTAAATGAGGACATAGCAGCACAAGGGATCCTGCTAAAGGCAAGTAATGTCACTTGCGCTGATTTTCTTTTTATATTTATTTTTTAGCTAAACTTGGACTCTAATCCGAATTTTCATTAAAAACTGAATTCAGTTTTTTTTTCTTTTTAATTAATTCATGGTTTGCAAAATAAGAGGTATTTATGCACATTGCAAGGAAGAGTTGAAGCTATTGATCTATTCACATACAAGAGATGAACAACTTGATTTGTCCAGTCTAGCTTCTTGAGCAAGAACACATTCATCCATTGCATACTTAACTATGAAGTTTGAAAAATAAGCACATCATTTATAAAAAAAAAAAAACTATTAGAAAAGTAATTTAGAAAGTCTATTAAACAAATTATACTGTAAATGTGCATGGAAAATGCTAATGCTATGAGAGGATATTGATAGCAAAGCAAGTAAAGATTTTCAGACCATGAGATGGCAATATTCTTTAGGCAGCAGAGTTAAAGTCTTAACCTTACACCCTGATTCCTATTGTCTGCAGGTTCCTCTCATTGACACCCACTTTATTTTCATGCTGCCCTTTCTTGGCAGATCATTGGCAATATTTCAGAAAATAGAAGACGAGGTCCAGTCCAATTTGTCACTTTTAGTCTCTTCTGAAATTAAGGTACTGAAAAGAAGCCTCTGTAACACAGAAATTAAAGTGTATTGCAACTATGACTTTCTTGTTTCAGTATAGCTGGAGGAAGGAAGATGCACATAATAGAATGTACCAAATTGCTGCATTGAATGGC